ATTCACGATTTTTATATAATAACATCGAATTAACTTTTTTTTTTTATATTAAAATATTCACGAAACGAGAAAGAGAGAGATAAAGTGAAAGAGATAGATATAGAGATAGAGAGTACCTTAAAAATCTTTCCCATCCAATTATCCTTATAATATTAAAGGACGATGAAATTCTTTCAAAATAGGTGAAAAAATACAAAAAGAATAAAAATAAGAAGACAACAACAAAATGGTTGTAATATGAAAATCAAAGTATCTTTCAAAAAAAAATAAATTTTACACATTGTTTTACAATCATACACATACAAACTCTCCTGTAATATATGAATATATTATTATAATATTAAGGATCTATATGACGAACCAAAAAAAAAAAAAAAATCCCAAAAATAAAAAGGATCTTTTCGCTCATAATTCCCCTTTTTTTTTGTCTTTTTCTCTATTTCTTTCTCTTTTCCTCTCTTTCTGTTTTTATTACAGAAAATGTCATCCTAACTTCAAAAAGCAAAAAAAAAAACTAATGTAAAAAAACTGCCAACGATTACATTGATAAATTCTTAGCGATATTTGCACATTTCCCAGCAAATTGCTTTGACAAGCGACACCACTTTTCATTTTCATGATAAGATCTTTTTAGATAATGATACTATACTGATGATAATGATATTGATGATTGTGAATGACTATATATATGATGAAAATAATGATGAATATAATGGCAATGATGATGATGATGACAATAATAATATGATGACTTTGGTAAATCACATTATGCGGTACTGATGATGATATATACTTGATAGTAATAATGATAATGATTGATGATGCTGATGATGATTATAATAATGATGGTGATGATGAGAATATCTTTAAAAAAGATTTTTGTTATTTTTTTTTACTACAGGAGGATACATGAACGCTGACAAATTCGTGAAATATATTTGAATTGATGATGACGACTATGAATGAATGTGAATGAATGGATGAATTTTATAAGGAACAAGAAAAAAAAAAAAAAGGAAAGTCATTGAGTTAAACAATTCATTTTCTTCATTTTGATTTTCTTTTTTAATTTTTTTATCAGTTTTATACAACTTCTTATATCTTATGTATAATGACAAAAAAAAAAAAAAAATGAAGGACTAAAGCTATAAAGGAACCATTGAATTTAATAGAAAGGATTGTTATATGTGTTCTTTATTCTGTTTCTCTTCTACTTGTTTAAAAGAACACACCTGAGCTGCTATGTTATACAAGTATAACTTGTATATTATGATAGCCTTATTTAATTCTGTTCTCTTATATATGAACCAACCATATTATGTAGAGCAAAAATAATAAAAAGAAGAGAAAAATATAGAATGAAAAATAATGATAAAATTGTGGTATTAATATCTTAGACGGAGAATCTTTTCTTATTATTCAGTATAACAAAAAAAAAAAACAGAAAAATAAAAATAATAGAGAAAAATATACCTTGATTAGAGTGAGAATTTCTCGAAGATTAGCTATTTTAAGTATGAATTTATTAAAATGAGAAATATAAATTAATTTTGTTATACAAAATGTATATAACTATACTATTACTGTTGTGTTGTGTTGAATGAAAAAAAAAAATAGAAGGGTATAAAAATAATTTTTTTAAATCAAATCTTTATATAATAACAGTAAATTTATTAATTTCGAACCAATTATAAAGAGAAATAGAATACTCATATTGTATATCAGATTAAAATGACAATCTCTTATATGTTTAATGTTGAAAATTTTAAATTCTTTTGAGAATTTTATAATACTATGAAATTTTAATTATTTGAGAAAATTTTCTAATTCTCAATTGGAATTAAAGCAGCTTTAAGAATCGCCGCTTTTAAAAATCTCTGTAATTATGTAAAGAGAGCGCGAATTATTTAATTTTTATTACTTCTTATTGTGAATCTCTTTAATGAGAAATTTACTGGCATGACAATTCGTATTTCGTGAAAGTAATTGAAAAACTGTTAAATATTTTAAGATCTTAATTTCTAATTCCAAATTTTTGAATTATATTTGAACTTTAACTTTTGGTACTGTACAGCTTTAAAAAAATTAATAAATTCGCTTTAAAATTTTATTTCCATAATTTATTATGAGTGTTTTACTTAATACCAGTAAAAATAGCAAAAAGAGAATAAGTTAATAAAAATATCAAAAATTTACTTTTATAATAGTAGTAATGAAATTCAGTAGCCTATTACTTTTATAACAGTATAAAATAGTGAAATTCAAAGTATGACGGAGTACTTATTTGTATACATACAAAGCGGCATACTTAATTTTTTTTTAAAAAAAGAGTAAGCAGTCCCAATGATTTTACGTTTTTTTTTAATTCAAGTTTTTTTCTAGTTTTAAATTAATAGAGAAAATTTTGAAAGAACAAAAATCTTTTCGGTTCATGTCTTTAATAGTGTAATTAAGAGAAAGACGAAGTTTTCTTTATCTAAAGAGTTAAAAAGTTTTACAAAACTACTTTAGACTTCGTTTTGTTTTTTTTGGTCAACTTTTCCTCTGACATTCTCTTTATGATTTTCAAAGAGTTCATTTATACATTTTTGTTTTATTAATTTTTTACAAAAAAATTAAAAAGTTTGAATGTTAGTTAAGTAAAAATGGAATGGATTTCTGAATTATTCTAACAGCAAAAGAAAAATTAGGGCGAAATAACACCTTGGAGTGAGCACGTAATTATTTGTTTAAAAAAATTTATTTTGATTTACTGAAATTAAAATCTTTCAAAGCATTTGAGGAATTCGACCAAAATTATTGGATTTTGCCCAGCCAACTTGACTGAAATGCAAAAATAAGAGAAATAATTGCTCAAAAATTTAATTAGAGATTCATTTAATCATAGAGAATAAAATTGGAAGTATTTTCTTCAACCGAAAACGAGTACACATTTTAGGTAAAAGACAATGAGCAAAAGATTCTCTCTCTCTCTCTTGTACATTAAATTTTAATTCTTAATAGTTGATTTCTGTGGAATTTTAATAATTATCTGTTGATTAAAAATTTAAATGACATTATTTTTGGAATTTGGAAAATGGATTTGTATGTAAATCGATTTCGACTATCGACTCTTTCTAACACAAATCAACCGTTAATTTCTTAATCATAATGTTCAAAATTATATAAAATGCTCATTGCTCAATTTCTACGAATATATAGAGTGAATCAAACGAGATCAGACATTATTAACATCAATATTAATAAGACATTAATTTTATGATATTGAAGTTTTGAAATTCACAATAATTCATCTTAAATTCAAAATTCTCATATCGAAATTTACAATTAAATTTAGACATTAAAGTGGTATGTATAACGCATAATGAAAAAATACAAATGAAATATAATTTTTTTAAATTTTCAATAAATTATATTAGAAATTAATTCAAATCAAGTTCTGCGTTGTGAGAGTCAAAAAGACTACACACAGCCCGATTACGTTACAATTTATTTTTTTATATGAAAATGACATCAATATGATGCCATTTTACAATGTATGACATTACGCGAAGCAATAACAAAATCTCTCAAAATATTTTACAAAAAAGAAATTATATTAGAGAGCGAATTAAACAGTATTCTGTCCGCTATCCACTGTCCAGGCTTTTATGAATAATAAACAATATATATGTATGTATATGTACGTGTGTGTATTATTATGAGAATCGGTAATAAAAAAAAACTTGTTGTTGTTTTTAATAGAAAAGTTCCGTCCTGTTTTATTTATTTTTTGTTTTTTTTTTTTTGCTCTCATTCTTATTTTATTTACACAATAATATGGGATCAAAAAAGACATTCCATTTCCATCAATCACTTTGGATAATTCGGAAATTAATCAAACTGGATATAAAATTTTTGTGCCATTTCTTATAGAATGTTAATATATGTACATACACATATATACTAACATAAATATAGGAAAATTCAAATCTTTTATATGCTTAGCAAATTGATGTAAGTACATGTAGCGGATATACACATAACGTATACGTGTACGTACATACAATTATGTTATGTGTATGAATAAATTTTATTTGTCGTTTTGTTTATTTGTTATAGAGCTCTACATATTTGCGTTTTCTTATATAAGAGAAAAGCGTGTAGCATTTGAACTTTTCTCTTTAAATATTGTGTTTAAATAAAATTTGGCTTATTTGTTTTGTATGTATGTATGTATACGTATATATATGAGCACATCTTGGCAATAAATTTCTGGCTATATTTCTTCTTTTTTGCTGTTTTTTTCCTGTATTGTTTGAAAAATTGTGTACATATGCAGGGTGGACAATAAGTCATTAAAGATTTTCAATTTTCTTTTCGGTTAATGCTTGATATTATAGATAATTTTTGTGAGCTTGATATAATAATTATCGTATAAGATAAATTGTATGAGGCTTTATTACCCAAAACTTGATAATTTAAATACAAAGAAATGGGGCCATCTGGATTTCTTGCGATGTGGTTTTTTAAAAGGGCCAAATATACACGCACAAATAAATCTCAAGAATTAAATGAAGCATTCTGTAAAGCAACTATAATAAAACAAATTAATCAAATTATAACTCGGCACGATTTTCATGGACTGTTATACATGAGATCTTGTAAGGAGCAGAAATTCATGAGGGGGCCAAACATTTCAATTGTCATTAATCAAATTTAATATTCCGATTAAAATTATGTATGCATGATACTTTGAATGACAACTAAATGAGTTTTATATTATTAAAATAAAATCTTCAATGACTTATGGCCCAAGCCGTTATTTATGTATTCTATGTAACTATATCCGTATACATAAATAAATATAAGAGCTTGGAAAATATAATTCTAAAAATGTTATTGATTTTATAATATGAAAAATTGATAATTTATTTCTTTTTAAGAATGAATGAATGAAAAACAAAAAGTTAATCATACATGAGCTTACAAAAATAAAAATATAACAATTCTATACTCACATTTTATACATTTTGTTGTTTATTTGAATTTAGAATATAATTCTTTTAGGAAAGGTCCAGCTGTATTTGAATATCCTGAAAATATTATATAAGTATCTAGTTAGTTATGCGTGTAAGTAAACGAAACCAATATTCTTATACTGTATAATTCTATTATATATATTTATAAATTTGATTCAATATCCTATATATGTATAACAGATTTTTATATATATATTTTTTTTTGTATATTCAAAATAAAAATATTGTTGATAAATTGTTGAGTGGATTCAAAAGAGCTTATATATATATATACATATAAGAATATTGTTTATGCTCAAAAAAGTTTTTAAGAGTTATATAACAAATTTTATAGAGCCAATAATTTCTAGTGAACTTAAAATATAACATTTTGAAAACAGGCAAAGATGAAAAGAAATAAAAACAAGTAAAAACGTTTCAGTCGGTATAAACCGATTGAATTATACCCTGCACCTTTCGTTATTGTGTAGCAGTTACTCGAACCCTTGAAGTCATTCTATAGAAACTTCACGGATATGTCTGACCTATAATTGGACATCCGACTGCCAAGTTTCATGAACCTGACTTTATTATTTTTCTAAATATTTAAAATAAGCTTTTGGAGTTGTATGGCAAGTACCCGAACCTGTCAAGCAATTCCACTAAAACTTCACAAATATATCTGACCTATAATTGGACATACGACTGCCAAGTCTCATGAAACCGACTTTATTATTTTTCCAAATATTTAGAATAAGCTTTTAGACTTGTATGGGAGCTACTCGAACCTGCCAAGCAATCCCACCAAAACTTCAGAAATATATCTGACCTATAACTCGACATACAACTGCCAAGTTTCATGAATCTGACTTTATTATTTTTCCAAATATTTAAAATAAGCTTTTGGAGTTGTATGGCAAGTACCCGAACCTGTCAAGCAATTCCACTAAAACTTCACAAATATATCTGATCTATAATCGGACACACAACTGCCAAGTTTCATGAATCTGCCTTTATTATTTTTCCAAATATTTAAAATTAGCTTCTGGAGTTGTATGGCAGGTACCCGAACCTGTCAAGCAATTCTTCTAAAACTTCAAAAATATATTTGACCTATAATTGGACACATGACTGCCAAGTTTCATGAATGTGACTTTATTATTTTGACGAATATAAAAAATTTGCTGTTGGAGTTGTATGGCAGCCACACGAACCGGTGCAGCTATCGCATTATAATTTTTGGAGCATGTGTAGAATATAATTGGACACATGTATACAAAATTTTATATTTATAGCTTTATTAGTTTTCGAAATATTTAAAATAAACTCTTTGAGTTGTATGGCAGCTACCCGAACCCGTTGTCCGAATTAGTCCAATAACAATAGGGTTCGTCCTTGGCACAAAAGAAAAAACTTGTGAAAGTTTGGTGTCAATAGCATTATTCGTTTTTGAGTTATCGTGCGATCGGACGGACGGACGGACGGACGGACGGACGGACGGACGGACGGACGGACGGACGGACGGACGGACGGACGGACGGACGGACATGTCTAAATCGACGCAGAATTTTACGCTGAGCAAGAATATATATATATGTCCATACCGCAGATGACTCCTTCAAGTAGTTACAAACTCCATACCAAAGTTAATATACCCTTCACGAAGTGCAGGGTATAAAAAGAAGATTAAAATTAATGCATATTGTCAATAAGAAACAACTCATAAACTCACTTATTCTCTCTCTCTTTCTCTCACTATTTACATGCGTTTATATTATGAAGAATGGACTTGTTTTTGAATGCAATAAACCTTGATATAATGGGAGTACATTATTTGAACTTTTATTATATTATTTATAATGAATATTTATATAATATTATAAAAATAATATATTGGTAGGTTTTTAGTTATATAAGAGCAAAAATAGAGTTATTATTAAATTTTTTTCTTAAGATTTCTATTCACTAAATTGCTTTTATTTTAAAGTGAACATGTTAAGAACAATTCACTTTTATTTTATTAGTATAAAAATAAATATTAAAAATTATTTGACAATTGAGTTTTTCACCGTATTTTGCGAAATGTCATTTAAAGTTACACTACAAAAGAGTAGTTTAATCGAAAATAAAGTCGACTGTATTGAAGCTGACAGTTGAATTTGGTATTTTATAAATTTGCTACAATTGCAGACCACTACTTTTGTAAATAATTTTAGAAGTTTTGCAGTAAACGCAGTCCTGCCAAATAATAACTGCATAAAACGCAATGCTCCAAAAACATGAGTTATCTACGTTACTCCAAATAATTTTTCTATATTATAGTGAAAATTAATTAATATTTATGGAAAAACAATCTTGGCAACATTTGTTTATGAACACAAATATAGTGCAGTTTGCAAAATATATCGTGATATATGTACTGCATTTATGAAAATGCCATTTATATTTAATAATCACGTTATTGCTATTTCAAATGGTGTTAAAAATGTGAAGTTTCTATTGTAGTTAAATTTTGTTTTATAATTTTACTGGTAAGTACTCCAATATTTCTAGCAAATAGCTTTTTATAAGTATTTGTTTTCAAAATTTGAATTTTTGCATTTTGAATTTGATGAGAATGCGTAAACGTAAAAATTACACCAGATACATAACAACAATTTGGCACATCACTGATTTTCAAACAAAATTCTTCTTAATTCTAAAACCTTCTCGTATATTTGAATTAAAACTCAATATTTGAAGTGTTCCAATTTTTGTCTAAAATTTTGAAGTGAAAACGTCAATAAAACGGAGCAATAAATCATCAATGTTATTTAGCGTCATAACAACGTCAATGATAAAAAATCGAAACAAAATAAAACACTCAAACTAAATAGAGCATTATTCCGTTATATACTCAAATTTTTATTTCTCACAGAATAATATTATGTCAAATGAATTGAGATGACGTACATAACTTCTACTTGTCATATTGTTGTTTTTCTTTTTTAATTTTTTTTTTTTAAGCTCCAAAAATTTTAAAATTATTTTATTTATTTTTGAAATTTTATTAATTTTATCAATTTTGAAATTTCTTAAATCCATAAAATGACATCATCCTACTCTTATATAATATTATTTTTTTTTTCTTATAATATTTATATCCAGTCGATTAAACCTTTTTAATATTTATTTTATTTTGTATAATACACAAATTTATTATATTATATTTAAATATATGTATATAAACATGTCAGTATAACAGATATACCACACATATATTATATGAAATTTATGATTTATATTTGCAAAAAAAAATCCAGATATTTATATGACGGTGTTTGTTCTTTTATTTATGTGTTTGTTTATATATTGAAGAGGGACCTCCCCATTTATAATTAAAATATATATATATTTATTATTAAGGTATTATTATTATTAAGGTATTTATACCAAAGGGGGAAAAGGGATTTTGAATAATGTCAAAAATATAAATATATATATATATATATATATATATATATATATATATATATTGATATATATATATATATATATATATCAATGATAAACGGATATTAAATTTTAAAATTTATGCAATAAACGGATTAACCATTTTCTTTTTAAAATTTATTACTTTGGTTTATGATACCATAAATAAGTCATTTCCGTTGTCATAACTGGCGTTCCGGTTTGTTCTCCTTTCCTTTTATATATTATTTATAATATGTATGTATATATGCTTCATTAAATTTACGCGAATTTTTATAGGTCATTGATTTATTATGGATTAAAAATATTGTCTTAAAAAATATGGTATTTTTATAATATTTTTGATATTTAACAGAATCGTTCTTAATTACAAAAATTAAGTATTTGATAATAGTGTTACCGTTGAATAAACAAGCGATATTATTAAGACTAAATATATTGGTCAATTAATTTTTCAACTAAGATCAACAACTTGTATTGTTTATTTGTAAAAATTTATTAATTCTAATAGATAAAATTAATTTTAAAAGAAAAATGTGGCATCTTTAAAAAAAAACACCTTACAGTTATTGCTGTTATGCTCCAATTATACAACCATTGTATATTAAATTTTAAAAATTCTGTTGAGTGTCACAACACCAATTCTTAAATTATAACAATAATAAATTAATTTTCTTTTAAAATCTAAATTATTTTCAGCAAAATGTTATTAAAAATCATTTTGGGCAGAGTTTCAACAATTTTTATTTTAAAATTAATAGTTACTCTATTAAAAAATAAGCACGTCTACTAAATTGTGTTCATCAAATGAAAAATTTCTAAGAGAATTATGGTATTTGATTTTCACTTGGCAGAAAACAGAATATTACTTTCAATATTCCCAACTTAGGGCGGCAGTAAAGATTAAATATAAAATATATAAACAAAATGTTTTACTAATTATTTCTGAAATAATTTTACAATGTTTTCTATGTTCTTAAAAATCTTTATTCAAATATGCTCTTAATTTCTATATTTGTACAAATATAAATTTTGTTTACCATAACACTCCCAATTTAGGGCGCCATCAGCAATAATTATTCAAATAAAATATTTAATACACACGTCATATACCGATATACTTGCTATAGAAAAATTCTCCGTATAAAAGTTATATTTGGTTTTAAGTCTTTTCCAAATTAATTTTACAAAATCATTGCGCTTCTTTAAATTTTAAATGATTTTCACTTTAATGTTAAATTAAATAAAATATTGAGATTAATTTAATGTTAAAAATTTACTATGCCTTCAAGTATATTAAAATTTTATGTAGATATCGGGGGTTATAATCAAGCTGTGTGTACTTCTATTCAAGTACACAAATATAGTAAAAAGAACAAGGATAATGAAAAACTCTTTGAAAAATAATTATATAAAAAAAATTATTTAAAAATTATCTCAACACTTAACAAAAAAAAAGTGAAAGGCGAAGAACCCTTTACATTTTAAGTGAATATAGTGTATGAAAACAAAAAATGAAGTCTTATATTTTTGGGGCAAAAAAATAAAATAAAAATAATTTACTTTTACAGTTTTAACCATGCTACGCCCACTCTCCCAACACC